CAGTCGCCCCCCCCCCCACCACCACTGAGGGGGTAAGGCTTCTGCTTTATATACAGAGAGCAAATGATTTCACTAATTATTGCATCATTTAGAGATGGCAGTTCTCGATCCTCTGCAGCGCCCCCACTCCAAGTCAGAGAATGGCTCTATACCTTTGACAGAATAACAGATAATTTAAATTGTAGATTTACTTAACCGGAATTATAAAAGGAAACTCAATGAGTTTATATTTTCATATTAAGATAACTAACACTGTGCAATGTTTCACGGATCGAATTTGGTCTGGAGGAGAGTTTATAAAAGATAGTTTTATGGACAATGTAAAGCTGCCTAATGTGTGGTGATTCCTACCCCACTCCCTGAAAAATACATGTCTATCTTTATTTCCTGCCAGTTTGGGTCATGTGGACATAGGGATGGGGGAAACAGAAAAGGAGTAGAGATGCTGGAAGATTTTGCACAGGGACACACCTTGCTCCTGGGACGCAGGGCATAGCCATTACTACTGTTATACCTCAGATAAACATTCTTGGATAATGTATCTCCTCCAACAAATGAAACAAATCCATTTATATATGGCACCTTTAGAAAACGGAATTAATTTTAAATTGGTAAACAAATTTTTAAGTCTTGACTATATTTTCACACTGGAGTCTTGTTCTAGGTGGCTAGAAAATAAATTCTCTCCATATAAATTGGAGGTTGGGGAATGGAAGGGGACAGGCAGACGAGAAAAAGAGAAAACAGCACTTTGACTATACAACAGGAATGCTGGATTTGATGAGTACACTAGGTCCCTTTCTACTCTAAGCTGTCTACACAATTTAGTCATTCATTAAAAATTGTGAAGAAATATTTTCTCTTTGTTTTTTCAAATGTAGAGATGAAGTTATGTTGGAGGGGTTTGGGGTTTTTCACAGAATGGTGATGGTAATTGTTATAGCAAATGAGACCAATTATTATTTAACCAGAAAAATATAAAAGCATATTTATGTTTCCTTTGTTCAAAATGTGTCCAACAGATTGGGTGTCGTACCCCAAACCACAAAGTGACTATAGACATAACTTGAAATATCCCATTCAATCCCAGTGGGAAATTTTCATCTTCTCTGTTGACAGTTCTCATCAAGGGAGTGATGAGGTAGAAAAGTCAAGCACTGGAGTCAGATAAACCTGAGTTCAAATCCTGGCTCTACCAATATGGCCGTGGGGTAGGGCTC